GGGGGGGGGGGGGGGGGGATGACCAAGGAGTTGGCGCGACAACCCGCGTGCAGTGGGGCATCCAAGATTGTCAAGAGCCAATACACACAATGACAGGAACAGACACACGTTGATGGCACTAGCGGGTAAAGATAGCAGGAAAATGGTGACCCGTGATACAGGAAGTCCCTCCTCACAGGCGCATGCTACAATACCCTCCCAGGCACTTCCTCCCTTGGAGACGCCAGATTTCTTCCTCGATTCGACTATCACACGTCTATCGAGGCTGCACAGGTACACGCGGATGCACGTCTTGGAAAGCGCACAGACTGCAACACCGCCTCGAAACGGGTACGATCATGACGACCAATCAACACAGACCCCGCGGATGCTCAAAATACGCCCACGTCTCTCCCTAAGGGCCCCATTCAAAACAACATTTCTTGCTCCCCCAAGTTCTTGGCACACACGTCAACAAATTCAAGGTCGCGCGGCGGCAGAGCAGCAGACAGCTCCGCCCGTCTCTTGGCATGGCTCACCCGTCGGACTCTATGAGCAAGCTGATCTCCCGATCCGCGCGGGCGTGGAAGTCAGTTAGCATCCTCTTCACTGCCACGGGGCGCCCCTCCAGGAGGCCCCTGTAGACGACAGTCCCGTGAGAACCGTACCCCAGAACGGTGTCGGACACGGTCAGGCATCCCACCCGGACCTCGCCCCTCACCCCGCCAGCAGCAGCCACGAGCGAGCCGCCGCCGCCGCCGCCACCTCCCCCCGCAGCACCAGAAGCGGACCCTTCCGACGCGCCGCTGATGCCGCTGTCCGCGGTCGGGTCGTACTCTCCGCCCACCCCGCCACCGCCCGCCCCACCGCTGTACAGCGGGTAGCCCCCGAGCCCGGCGCGCTTTAGGTACTGGGCCGCCCTCCGAGAGTCCACCACGACCGCCACCACGACGGCGAGCAGCAGGAGGGAGACGAAGCTCCACCCGCGGTAGAGCCAGCCCAGCAGGGATTCGAGTGGGCCCCGCGACGCGTTGGCCAGGGTCAGGTAGTTCAGGTCGTCGCCGGCGCCGTTCCCCTGGGACGAAGGGCGGGGGAGGCGCCCAATGTACCCGGAGGTCGTTCTGACCCCCTTAGGGTCGTGGCTGCCTGGGTGCGTGAGTGGATTGCACGGGAGCACGGAGGCATAGGCGTCGAGGGAGGGAGGGAGGGACAGTGGGAAATCGGACAAAATGTTCTACGAGCACAAACCGCATTTTACATCCATCATCCCTTTCGTGGATGCTTCGCCACGTCCTGAACGTCATGCATCGGATGTCAACCGCTATCCCAAATGGCGACAACAAAACCCTCTCCGACACCACGTTCGTGTCTGCATCATGCGTTCACCAATCCAGCGCCTTCGGACGGCAACGACACGAAACAAAAAAAAAAACGACGTACATATTATGTGCCAAGACTCATGGCTCCGACTACCTCGTGAAAGGGCGACACCACCACCGTGCTCACCCGAGAACATAGGCACAGCAGTCCGGACACATCGGTCCGTTGTTCAAGAGCTAAAGAAGATGCATGCACATACAAAGTGCACACCTGCGCCACCTCCACCGCCACCGCCGTCGAGAGCAGTGCTGCCGCCTGCTTGCGAGCCCATGCCGAGCGACAAGCGTGCCTGCTCTTCTCCCGTAATTTGTTGGACCGTGTGCACCCCCACCAGGCAACTCGGAAAGGCTGAGTGCCCCGGCTGGCACCACTTCGGCGGGCAACTCACTACTGCTGCTGCTTCCGTTGCGTAGGAGATGTCGTCGGGAGAGAATGGTGGCGTTAGGAGTACGTTGGGAAGGTTACCACGGCAAAGATAAGAGGAGGGCGTCGACTGATCTCATCTCCCCAACACAACTGCTTGCGATGCGAAACACGCCATACTTATCAAAGGGCGAAAGGAGAAAAAGCGAACAAGAGATACAAAAGTTACACTAGATAAAATTGTGGGTGCTCGACACTACTAGGCAGCTGGCTATATTTACCACCGACACCGACACAACAGACGCAGGGGAAGCAAAAGGCCGTTTCATTCGCGACACACATACATACACGCAGGGGAAAAAATAAACTCATGCGCAAAACCCAGCGTTAACGGGCACGCAGCACGGGGGAAAGGAGGGAGAGCTCACCGTGTTGGGGCGTGCCCTTCGTTGACCAGCTCTGCACCAAGGAGCTCGATCCGCTTCCGCCCCCATCTGCATCCGGCCTGTCCCCTCCGTCGCGCTGCTGCTGCTGCTGCCAGTCACCCCCGTGCGGCAATAGAGGCTGCGTCGCGGTGGTCCTCCCGCCGTGGGTCACCTTCCCCTCCCCGGCCCTGCTGCCCTTCTTTCCCCGGCTCCCGTGGCCCCCGGGCCCCCAGCCGACGCCGACGTCCTCTCCACCGTCGCCACCGCCGCCGCCGTGCTCACCGAGGGCCACGGCGTACACCTGGTCGTTCTCGAGAATCCCCACCGCGGCGGTCCCTCCGCTCCCGTTACCGACGACCGGCGCTCCGGCGCCGGCGGATTGCGACAGTGGTATCTGCTGCATGGGGAGGTACGTGTGGACGGACCCTTCCTCCAGCGACACCCGGAACACGCTGGCCACGTGGGCCGTCAGCCGCACATCCCACTCGGGGTCTGCGGAAATCCCTCCGATATGGTTGTCGTTGCCTCCCTTCCCCGCCTCCACCGATTGAAGCGAGCCGTCTGCAGTGGCGGTGAGCGAGGGCACCGGCTCGGAGAGAGCGGCGGCGGCGGCGGCGGCGGCCCTGGCGGCCTCCGCACGGGTCCTACTGCTCCCGGCCCCCGACGAGGCCGCCAGGTACAGGTCGTCGAGGGACACGAACTCCCCGATGGTGAGGTTCCACTCTTCCTGCCCGGTCGGCACGTCGAACGCGCGGATCGTGTAATCGTTCCGGCCGATCCAGATCACGTCGTCGTCGCTGCCGCTCCGCGCCAGCAGCCGGCGGTTGCTCTCTAGGCTGTCCGCCGTGTCCCCGGACAGGACCTGGCGGACCTCGCCGGTGCGCGCGTCGACGCCGAATATCCGGGATACCTTGGAGCCCGTGTAGAATATCCCCTTCGGATCGAGAAACGGCGTCTGCTCCACGAGGAGCCGGGCCTTGAGGCCCGGCCGCCGGAGGCCCTGGGTCGTGTGCACCAGTATGGATCCGTCCAGGGTCGGGATGAGCCACTTCTTCTCGTCGAGGGTCCCGGGCAGCTGCTGGTAGGACTTCACCAGCGGCTCTCCCGTGTCGAAGGACCACCTCAGGCCCCCCGTGGACGGCTCCAGGGCATGCACCTGCCCGTCGACAGTCCCGGCGATCAAGAGGGTTGACCGTTGCTGTTGCTGTTGCTGTTGCCGCCGCCGCTGCTGCTGCTGCTGCTGCTCCCCGACCAGGGCGAGAGCGTTGTCCCCAAGCGGCGGAGGTTGTTCGAAGAGCAAGGCCCCGATCTCGGAGGACAGGAGCACGGACGACACGGCAGCATCTTCGACTTGGTTCTCTCCGCCCGCTGCCGCGGCCGAGGGGAAGGCTGACTTGGTGGTGCGTTGGGGCTTCTTTCGGGACGCGGCGGCTGCCGCGGAGGGGCCCTTGTTTCGTACCGATGAGGTGGCTGGCGCGTCCGCCTCCTGCTGCACCAGACTAACGGGTCGCGGCGTGACGCGAGGGGTGGTGGTGAACAGCAGGGCGAAGAGCAGCAGGAGGGAAGCGGCCCTGGTCTTCCCGCGCTGTTGCCGTTGCATCACGCACACTGCCACTCCCGGCTGTTACCACCGAAGCAGCAACCGTTCAGCCTGCTGCTGCTACTGCAATTATTTTCCCCACTGCTGCTGTTGCTGTTCTCTCTCCCTTTGGAGCGGCACCTCTTTCGCGAAATTGGCCGCTACACGTGTTTGGCAGCAGCCTCTCGGCAATATCTGACGAGCCTCGGCAAGTAGGTTGGCATGACCGGGCGAAGAGCGCTTGGTGAGCGTTGGCGTGCCTTGGAGCTTACACTTGTCGCAGCGAGCCAGTGGCGAGGCCTCGGTTGTCAGTTAGCGTCGGGGGGTCGGCAGATGTACCTGCAATTGAAGAGGAGGCGCTGACGAAGCCCCCTGGAAATTGGAAATCGAATCGTATCGAAGATTGTGAAACGAAAAGATAATAAAACTAGGCAGGCAGCTCCGACTGACTGCTGGCTGCACTACTCTGTGCAGTGAAGTCATAGCAGCGGCACCATGTCATAGAGTTGTAGCCCCCCTCGGAAGATCTAGGGTTGATGATCGTTCGATGGTCGTATATCAATCCCACATAACAACAACAGCAGTGAAGAGTTTTTGTGTGGATCAATTCAGACGATGACTCTCCTCGAAGGTGATGATGATGATGGTATGTATCTTTTCCAACGCCACCAAATGTGACGTGGGGCGGGGGACAACTCTAGCGATGGTGGCAGGTTAGAAATCTTTATAAGTACATAGACCTGCGTTGGAGTTGATAACATCAAGCCTCGCGGCACAGGAAATAGTCTGATGTGAAACCAGTTTGTTTGGTAGGTTCTGTAGATTATTAGATAGTCTAGACTAGACTATAGCTTCGTCAAACTGTTAGATAGATTACTGCTGTAACATGTTGTAAACTCTCGTGCTTGTCTACTATAGTATGAACCCCTAGTTTCGGCCGAGGCTAGGGTGCTTATTTTGCTGATCATCCTCTTGTGGGCTGGGGTTCTTATTTTGCTGATCATCCTCTTGTGGGCTACAAATGGCCGCTATATAGGTTTTAGTGTGGGGTTCTTAACCGAGCTCACAAATGGTGCTCCAGTTTTCGCGAGTGAGTCTCAATTTCTTAACTGCCAAGTTCCGTAATGCGGGCGCTATCTGCACGTCGAAAGGATCCACGTGAAAGATGCAGTTATGTAGTCCATGTTGTATCTGTCCGATCCAGCGAGAGATAAAAACTACAATATGCTCCAAGCGATGACACCTGACCTCTCTTTGGCATCAATTATGCACCACCAGCAGCCTCCTTATTTGAGATATTTTCTGCTGACAGGGCGACGGCGACGGACGGACGCCGTTCGTTACATTGTACGGCAAAAGTACATAATAACACATAATCGACTTCGTAAGTCGCGAGGGAAGGGATTGCTGTACCCTTCTCGCGATAAAAATACCTCAGGCAGGAACCGCAGGAGGGGGTCCAGCCCACCCCTCCTATGTGACCCCGGTTGGGTCGTCTAGCTAGTAGAAGTGGAGGATAGGGGCCAGAGGGGCAGACGACAGAGTCCGATGATGGGAGAAATAAATAAATAAATAAATAACACAGGCCTATACCGCCACATGGTCATTTTCTTCGAACCGTTCATATGCCGATCAGAAAAAACTCGCAACATGTGTCAATCAATGTGTTGGGTGTGCCGAGGTAGCGCACGTACAAAAAACAAACCAGATCTGATCTAGACTAGACTATGTATGTATCTCTTCGCAGCACACATACATGGGGGAATCATACACCTCCTCTTTGTTTCTCGCTCCGCCATGCCTTCGACCATAACAAAACCCTCTGACGTACCGCGACAACACCTGTCTGTCTAACCACACGCACGCAAACCTGTCTCGGTTGTATGACATCCCAAAGGGACAGACAGGGTGGAGGGGTATCTCGTATCATCGTACGAGGTGTACAACCTAAAACAAAATAACGCACCTCAGTTGGCTCCAAGCAAAATATGTCAGTGTCTTAGCACCATCGGCGAAACAAGATCCAGTCGTACCACTGCCTGCCTCAAAGACGGCAAGGTGATCGCTACACTTTCCCACATGTTCCCCGTCCCTCCCATCCCTTGAATTCTTCGTCTTCCCCGACAAATTACGAGTTGACAATAATACATCATAGCAGTATATTAGGGCCCCCGTACTTAAAGTGGAGCTAACAGGACTCCCGGGAATTCGCAATATCATCTTGCAGCAGCGCAACAAGAGCCCACCTACCAGTTTCAAACCCTCCGCTGACGAGCAGTACCGACGCAGACTAGTACTACCAACAACTGCCACACACTGTTTTTCACTTATTTGTGCTGCTTGGTACCAAGGAGAGCCGTCCGCGGTCGACCGAACGCATCCCATGGTGCGTCTCCGTTTTCGTTCTGCATGTCGGAGCGCATCCTTTTGAGTTTGTCTTCCAAGCCGGTCATCGGTGACAGGTGGTGCGGCAGGGCAACCTTGTTGTGTTGTGTCGGTGCGAAGGGGTACAAGGAGAGAGAGGGGTGAGGAAGATTAGGACGATTTAGTATGTGTTTACGTTTTCAGTAAGCTCATCTTTGTTTCATTGTTCTGTTCACTTTTTTGCACCTCGCTCTCGGAATCGCTACATTAGCCAGGATTGTTGCATAACTAACGTTGGCCCAGTTGGGTGAATGGGGATAGCTCGCTTTATCAGTTTGGAAGCAGAACATTGATAAAGGTCGTGGTGTGTGCGAAGTGAAGGTTCTAGTGTATTTTTTGTCGTCGATGGGGTCGTTGTCATACTGTGTCCTTTGCTATCCCGTTCTGCCGAACGCAGTCGGCTGGCGGTCTCTTCATCCTTGTGCCAGGAGATCATGAACATCTCTGCTGCCCGCAGCACCACCGCGTACCACGGCACCCCAAACTGCACGTTCGTTGCGACAGTCCGCATGGCGCCAGGAACACCAAACGTTCGTCGATTTCCTTCCAAACATTCGTCTGTGTTCTGAACGCTTGGAAGCCGCCTCTCAGGCGCTTCAGCCAGTTTTGCTCCGGGCACCCCGTGCCTGTATCCCCCCCCTCCAAGAGATTCCCAAACCTCATTCGCTTCGGGAGTCGTCCATCCGGTTGTCTGGCGAAGGCTCCCTCGAAAATCAGTCGCCATAGTCGGGCAGTACTCCCAGCGCTTGGTTACCCGACCTTCTGATGAACCTGCGCGTAAGAGAGTGGCCGGAATGTATCACGCGCGCGGCAGTATCCCTCAACTCTCAGGAGTAGCCGGTGGTGTGTCCTCCTCAGCGTGTAGTAACGGTCGCGGCACGGAGCCCACCCCATGCGTCCATGCAGTGGAATCTCCATCGCCGCCGCTTTCAGGTGACGGACCTTGAGCCTTCGCAGAGTGCTGTCTACATGCCGCAAGAACGTTCTCATGCACGCACATGCTGCTCTGCTCCGGTCCGGTGGTTTCACCTCCTGCGTAGGCTCGCCATCTTCATTGACACTGCCTCTCGTGTAACGGAAGCAACTATGCAGCCTGGGCGTGTTTTTCAGGCAAGCTTCTACCATGACCAGTGGCGGGGGCGTTGGTGGTGATGGCAGCGTTGATTCCCCGTCCTTCGGCTACTTCGCTTGTTTTCTCCGGTACCCGCACCAGGAGAGTCTTTGTATTATTCTCCAGTACTGCTGGTCGGCATAAGGCTACAAACACTTCTATTTCCACGAGAACAGTCATTTCCTCGCCAACTCTTGAGATCATGATCTCGACACGCACTGATAACGTAAGAGCTGAATTCGCATTAACTCGACGGATCCCGCCCCCCCGTCGACTCTCGAGACCATTTTCGCTTGCCATACTCTCCCCATGTCGGGGGTTTCGACGTCTGCCACTGCCATCGCGTGCCTCGGATACTCCTCCTTACATCTTCGCACCTGGGAATCCCGAGGACCCTTGGTATCCTCTCGCTATTCTTCTACACGACTTCAGCGTTCGTTGTTTCCGGTTTCACACAGGTACAGACGATTGTTATCTACTTGCAAATACACACCTTGGTGTTGGTCAGCGCTTTGGCGGCCGCGTGGTGACGTTCGTTGCCTATCACCGGCCCAGACTTGGCCCCGGCGGACGCTGAGGCTTGAGAGACACCCGGGGGGTCACCACCGCTATCCTTGCTCCCGGTCTCGAGGCCTGCCGACGACGTGTCGCGAGAAAGCCACCCAAAGACAAGAAGCTAAAACGATGACGGTCCTTGCGAGTGTGGCTTCACATACGCGGTTTGTTCAGCATTCGCGGACGAGACTACAAAGAACAATTGTACCTTTGTCGAAAGCTGCGCAAGCGCGCAGGTTGGGTTGGCTTCCAAGAAGACAATCGTGAAACGCGCGCACGAGAGTCTCGAAGCACGTCAACAAGTTAATATCCGCGGGCGTCTGATCCGTTACGACAAGCCGCTGCGAACACCTCCGTCTTTGAATGACCAGCGTGTTGCATGCGTGTTCTGTCAGCCCCCTGATATCAGCCGCGACCATGAGGGCACTTGGATTTTCAAGTGAGGGCAACAAGACCGCCACGCTTCGTGGGTCGCAACGTTGGACGAGGACACGGTTTGTTGTCTACGGTGACCTGCTGCTTGATCCATTTCGCTAAGGAAACGTGTATGTGTCGAACTGCCACAATCCCTCTAAAATATCTCCGTCGATGAAGCGGCTCATCGCTTGTCTCAACGCTTCAACTGCTCGGCTGAAACAGGTAGGTTGTCTGTCCGGAAACGTTGTAAGGGGTATCAAAACACCGGCACCGGTTCCTTGCTGTAGAAGTAGGGGGGGAGGTCATCTTTGGTTTGTAGAACACCCCAACGTCTGTCGGAGGTGTATTGCATCATGATACATACCTCTTCCTTTGGGCAGAGCCTCGAGGCTACAACCCTTCATGATTTAGAAAACAAAAGTTTCATGCGTCCTTGAATTGTATATTTTTTTTTATCCAACTGCCTCCAAAATACAAGACCTTGCGCTAACACAGCTGTTGAAATGCTGGTGAAACGAGCCCAACAAATGAAAATAAAATAAGTGCAGGCCCCGAACCTCATGCGGAAAAAAACGCATGTTTATGGTTGAGCATACTGCAAGTCAGACGAAGCGAAACCCACCGTTGGTACGCCCGCGAATCGCGTCTGTCTCCCATGGCCTCTTCGACTCGTGAATTCCACCTCCTCTGCTCGGCCTATCATCGTGATCGCCATCTGCGCCAACCGCCCCAATCCCCCTCCCCACCCCCCCGCGGTCGCCCGCCCCCGAATGCTTCGGTTGAGCCTGTGCGCTACCCCCGCCGGTCGTACCTGAAATTGCTTTTTGGCGGTTCAACAAGAGAAAGGGGGCAGAGAGGGTAGCGTGCGATCGAACATGGTTGGATGTATGTACCTCTCTCTCCCCCGCTTGGTTGTCGTTAATTTCAACCGCGAAGAGATTTGAAATGCACGCAAGTTGTTATTGGTGCTATTCAGTGCAAGCATACACCGTGCTGAGCACAAGAACACACTATCCAGTATTGTCAAGATAAGACACTTTTGTTTCGCTCGCCGACACTACAGACATCCATGAAAGTGCACCCCTGGATCTCCTCGGTATGTGTCCATAGGGGCAACTCTGTTTAACTTTCTGCGTTCCCAGACGGTGATCTTTGCCAAGTCTAGGTTATCGACCTTGCTCGTTCAAAAGCAGGGAAATCCATCGGCACTTGGCAATCACCCACCCTATTCCTCAAATCTCTCGCGTTTCAGCACCACACGCACATCAAACCCCGGCCGCACACGACATACCAAACGATTCGTGTGTGAATCGTAGGCGGCCAGCATACAGCCTCATCAAACCGATCACGTTCGTTTTTCGACACGTCAACACATCATTCTGCCACAATTGCACCTTCCGAGAACTCACCACCACTCCCTCCAATCACGGGGTCTGCTAGGTCACCACTCGCCCATCCAGCGCCGCTTGATCCCCCCTGCTCGTTGGTAACACTTGCGGCGCCCCCCTCGACCATCATCGTGCTGGTCGCCTTGGCATGTTCCTCGCCCTCTTGCCCACCCCCAGTCCGCGTCTCCGCGCTTTCTTTTTCTCCGGCCTGGTCTCGTTGTGGAACATTGGGTTATGCGTTCGTCCGTTGCGTAAGGTACAAAGCAAGTGGTACGGGAACGGACAGGATAAGAAGGTAGTGTATACGTGTGTGGAGATGGGTGGCAGCGTACGCGCCGGGGGAGGAAGGACAGTGATGTGCCAGACGAGTTAGTGTACATCCAGATGAAAAGAGGTCGGAAACGCATGACAGGATTGAGTGGGAGGGGGATTCGTGTGTACCAGACACAATACTAGAGACACAGGTCTTATTCGGGTAGAGATAGACGGACGCAGCATTGGAACGGGTAGCACGGTCTCTTCGGGTTTCGGTAACTATTCTTGCCTTCATCATCTTTGCTTCCATTTCCTGCTGCAACGCCGCCGTGGTCTGCCACACGGACACCTTCCTGAGCTCCTCCCAACCCTCCGGCCCCTTTGTCATGGCACGAATCTGGTAGCCCCGTCCTTTCGCTGAAACGTTCGGAAACCTTGGTCAAGACGGACAAGGGAGGGAGTCATGGTGAGGCATCCTTCCGACACCCAAAGCGGTATCGTGGGTTGTCCGCCGGGAAAAAGGACACCTCGTACCCTCTACGTCGCCGCAGGTTTGCCACGCGCGTGGGGTACGCAAGTAGTAGTTGGTGACACCTGTGGACTGACATGGAGCAGATGTGTACACCACAACATAAATGGAACTTGATTGGTAAACTGCAGTTTATACCTGGAATCGAGCAAAGGCTGCTCCTCGCCCCCCTCGCCGAGCACGATGTAGTAGGAGTCCTCAAACCAGATCCCGATCGTTACCACGCCCCGAGCGGAGTAAGACTTACTAGCGACCAGATCTACCCCTCGGAACTCCTCCTTTGTGGCTGTTGTCGCTGCCGTCTTGGGTTGTAGTTCGAGTCGGTGATCCGTGTCAACGAGGTGTGAGGAGGGGGGGACGGGGAAGGTCGAGGTCCATGCTGTTTCCAGACGGAACGTGCGGTGAAATTGCCATTTCTGGTGGGAGCTGACTCATTGGAGAGGATGCGAAGACATAGTGTGCGTCTTAAGAAATTGGATCGACAAGACGACGCAGCCTCATACATAGGATGGACACGGAGTCAACCCACCGGCCAATCGACAACAGTGCGGTCGCTCTCTGCACGGAGCAAAAACATTCCGGAGTTGATCTACGCCTGTAGCAGGCGTCCTGGGGGGGAGAGGACAATCTTCCACACAGCGCAGGCGCCGTAAAGGCCTTGATGGAGGTCAGGATTAAGTTTGGAGTCACCACACACAGCAGTGGAACATCGGAGGGCTCCACCGGACGATAGAAAAACGCAATTAGATTGACGCAGCTAGCGTGTGACGCGGACAACCTCTAGTCGGCGATAAATTCACCTGGAACTCGAAGAAGCTTTGCATGCTGTCACCGTCGAACCATGACGACACGCTGTCCTCCAGCCCCTGAGAAAGAAAACAAGATATAGTATGCACCGACCGTAAAGATTGTCGGATTTGTATTGTGTCTGTCCGCCACAAGGTCGACCTAGCCCATCTATGACACATTTTCACGCTTTCGAAGCATTGTCAAAAACTCGAGATAGAGTGTTTAAGTGCCGGCGGGAGAAGTCGTTTGCCTGTCAATCTAGGCTTGTGCACGAAACGTGACGTTCTCTCCTTCCGGTCAGTGGTCAAAGGGTCATAAATTCATCGTCTGCGTGCTGCACGAGGTGACGACTGGGGGAAGCACACGAGCAGGCGCTTGTGGATGGCCTTTCATCGACGGGTCCGGTCGCAGTCGCCCGCCCGCCCGCCCGCCCGCCCTACGTCCTACGTCCTACTCTTCCGCATCCTATCGATCATGCCCTCTCCCCTGTGCCTGGACAAATATTCCGCCTTGTCTCGTGTGAAGTGTCCAGCGTCTCACCATGTCCGAGAGATTTTCCAACAAATCGGTCAGCACTGCTTCGGAGGAGGCGACTTGCTCCTCCATGAGAGGCATCAATCGCTGCATGTGCTCCAACGGGGCCGCGAAAGGGGACTTGGATGGAACCTGCAAACCCTCAGAGCGGAAGTTCACGTGCAGCAGAGTCGGCGATAGTTGGAACGGAAAATACGCCCACGGCTCTCACGCAAGGACGGCGTTATTGGCATTCTATGATGGAGGCAAAACGTTCACGCATGCCTGAGCGGCACCTGATTCGCATGCCGTAAACATCGAATTGTTGCATGACGTGACAAAAGTGACGAGTCGAAAATTAAATGCATCGCCGGACTGTGGCGGAGTGACCGGTCGGACTACATGGTGAACGTGGCAGATGTGCTGTGGGAATGCACTGTTTGGCCCTCTGGCTAGCGCGTTAAAGCGCGGCTTCCTGACTGGTCACCCCGTTCGGTGCTCCAGGCGACAATCTCGTAAACGGTGTGACGGCTAGGACGTGAATTCGAGTCTCAGCAAGATTTGGGTTTTCTGCATTTCGTACCTTGTCGTGGTAGGTAAGAAAGGGTTGTTCGAGAGTACATCTGGGGGGCGGAGCTGCTGCACCTTCTCGCGTTACAATTCAAGGCGTGCGCCTCAAAGGACCATAACGTTCCGCCTATTCACAGACCGGAGCTGTTACAGAAGAAAGTACCGCGGGTGGGTTGAAAAATGCTGTACAAGAAGGTGATACAATGGAGGGTGACAGAAAAATATTGATGTGAAACCTCCTACAACCAAGTGACATCGAATGGGTGAGACCGTTGTAGCACTCTTCCGCTCACTTGTGTGACGTCACACATGAAATCCAGTTTGCTCTGCTGCATGCGCAAGGCCGGGATGACGTGGGGGATGTCCACGAGCGCCAGGGTAGGAATCAGCTGCACAGTTCCACTGTAGCACCAGCTCCCAAACCTTGCGCGCATGTCGGTGGGTAGGTTTCGCGATGAACGATTTCGGAAGCCAGAGAACTACCAAGGAACTTTGGCACGCACGAAAATAAAGTATCAGTGATCCGTCTATCCCAAACGGAGCTCGCTTGGTGCGAATCACCGGCAATTTATACGTTTGCGTCAGGTGTGTGAACGTTGATACAGAAAAGTTTCTGATACATGGCGTAGTGAAAACTTTCGGTTGCAGGCGGTGCATGGGCTTCCCGGCCATGGACGGCCCATTTTTTCCAGCCTTGCCGTACACTTGTGATTTTTCCAGCCCCACCCACCCTACGGTCATCGAGTGACCCTGTACGCATCTCACATGCCCGAAATACAACGACAAACAAACAATACGCGTGTTCCGCGGGGTACACGTCATGTCGCCCTGTGCGAAGAGTATGTTTTACCTGAACAGGACGTCGCGGTAAGCGTTGTTGGTGCCGAATTCTTCCGTTCCCGTAGGCTTCATGATCACGTACGTCTGCAAGTAGGTTGTGGAGGTGAGATTGGTTGTCGGTGGCCCCGCCAGTGACCGGGAGCTTCCGTTAGCCGCTGCCTCCGCTGCCTCCATTGCCTGGGTCGCAGCGGCTGGTGGGTCGATAAAACAATGATTTTGAGAGCCCGGCAAGTTCCATTATTCGTTTATCGAACAGAAGGCGAGGATGGGTTGGATAGCTGACAATGTGCCATAAATCGTTCTAGCGGTTTTGAGGAAGCCGGGAGAAAATTGAATGATTCTGATGAATGAGTTTGTCGGGAAGACGCCGATCGGAGGAGGAGGGAAGGGGTTTGAAGAATAGGAAAAATCTTGTCAAGACCAGAAGCACGTACTTTAGGGCTTGCGGGTTGTTGAGGTGCTAAGGGTGATCATCTAGACGACGGAGGCAAGCAATACATTCGGAGTTCTCATTATTCAATCCAACATTGCTTGACGAAGAGTACAGGTGTGCGAAACTACCCTGCCAACACCCAACTTAAAACACCAGTGCCACTCTCACATTCATTGCGGACATTTCAAATTCACCATAGTGTCTTTGGTATCGGTGTGGTCGAAACTTGTGGGGGAATAATATCATGCTACTCACAAGGTTTAATGGCGTGCCAGAGGGTTAATTTCCGCCACGGGCGTCGGAGGTCGTCGTAGGACATGAGGTGCAGCCCTTGCCCATGCGAGGAGACATCCGGGAATCGGATATCCAAGAGTGCCTGGTCGTTGGACATACGTGGAATACATCACGGTCGGTGAAATGGACCGTGAGGGGAGAGCAAGGCCTCAAGTCTAAACAGGTGTTTTTTTCACAGTCTGCACCGGAGCACACTCAACACACGCTGCTCCTCCACAATTGTGTGTGATCTTCTTTTGCCTTTTTTCACGTCGAGTTTAGTGTTGTGCGAACACCAAGGGCAGCATTGGCTTACTGACCCTCCTGGTCCAACGTGGTCTACATATTAGAGTCGTTCTGTGTATGTATCCTGTCCGCGTTCCAACATTGGCACTTCAAAAGGTGACACCCGAAAGTCTGATAATTTTTCTCTTCTTGTTTAGCTGGTGGAAAGCTACGGGTGCACTCTCTGGCCACGGCACCAACAGGCCAGGGCTAGAACAAAAATATTACCTGGTCACCCTCTCCTTCCTGCATGACGACGTAAAATGACCCCTCCTGGTAGACAGTGATGAACACCAGCCCGCGAGCGTACGTCTTGCACGCTACCAACGCGATCCTTGGTTGCGAGGACGTAAGGGATAGCGTCTTTTGGGGCGAATCCGGGAGGGAGGAAACAGGAAGGTCTGTCGTACCCTGCCAAAATACGTTCAGTCCATCGCGATTGTGTCGCGCTGTCTGGAACAAATTTCGGCATGTTCTCCGTGGGTTCCGAAAACCTCGAGATTTTTTCCAGTAGCACAGGGGCTCATGAAAAAAGTAGCGTTTGACGTGCGGTCATCTATCGATCTCTCTTGTTCGACATTATTCTCAAGTCTAAGCAACTCCGGACTTACTCGTCCATGCAAGCAGGAAGCTCGGCTTGTAGCTCGAAGTATGTCGAGCAGGACGAATCGTCGTTGATCCAGTGAAATGCGCCACTCCACTTGGTAAGCTCTTGGGTTGTTCTCGAAGATGCCAACTCTTGAGCGACGAATTCTTGCACCTCCGCAAGGATTACTACCGGTTGTCGGTATACGCAATCCACCGGCACCCTACGAAGGAGGCGTTTTTATATTTGTTTGGGGGTTCATGTGTTTTCGTTCGAAACCAAGGTGGGCAGAAAGGAGCTGGGTGATCAAAGCGAACTGGTCATCATCTGAATTGAATTGATCGGCGAATAGTGTTGGCGGATGCACTTTTTCTTCGTTCACGCACCTGTCGGCACAACAGAAGAACTTCAGCCGATCTTGCTGCCGCTGCAACATCGGTACCGCGCGTGGGATGTCCTTGAGTGTAATGACTTCTCCGTCACCCAGCCCCGCAAAACTTACCTCCCCAGTGTAGCACCAATTGCCGCACCGAAACATTACCTGTAGACATGCACGAGTGAAGAAACATGCATATGTCCACACGGCTTTGCACGCTAGATTAATTGTATCTTGGATGGGTCTACAGCAGTACTGTAGTCTATCCTCGTTGCTTTTTGTCAACAATAGATGCATGCGGCCAGAGGAACATGCCGTGTGAGAACCAGCTGTACACATACAATAAGGTAGACTTTCCCTACATAAAACAGTAGACTCCTGCCTACACGCCTACATGTACGAAGCACAACCATTGCTACAGTAATAGTCTACAGCAGAAACCTACGTATCTGCAGTACACACCGCTAACGTAGCATTCGCACAGCGGTGCGTCATGCAAGTATATGCTTACCCGCCCATTTGCGACAGGTGATCCACCTACTGCACCGTCGGGCCCTTCGCATGGAGGATAGGAAGCCCGAGCTCTGTGTGCACACTACCGTATTTTCTGTACAACCTAAACATCGCCACAACCAACATTGAAACATGGCATCGAGCCATGTTATACATTCGACGTGGCACCTGCGCAGTGAAGGTGAGTTTTACAATCACAATCAGGTGTAGACCACAGACTTCAAATCCTGCCGTCGCAACCAATCTTCTAGTTGCTTTACTAGGTGCGTGCAGAGTAGTTACCTGTCGATTCCTTCCGTGGTCCCTCTGAGGGTCCTGCTTCCGGACAACATACGTTTGGCTATACCCGCTCAGCAACGGAGGCGCATCGCCCAATTCGGGAGGACTCAGGTCGACGTCCCCCAATTCTTTCGCACCACGGTCTCCTACGCTAAGATCTGTCGAAGAAAGGTCGCCATCGCTAGCACTATCACTAGCAGCACCTAAGGATGTGCCATCGTCGCAGCTCATGATCCGGAACTTTGCCCACACGTCTTATACTTTGCGCACTTAGGGCCCGACGGTTGTGAGCGTGTCGGCGAGGTCGACCTCGGCGCGCGACCGTTACACGGCGAACGCCTTCAGAACTTTTCGGAACTTCTCGGAATTGAAAATCTATTCCATTCATTCTCACCCCGTTCAAACAACCTCGGTGCCCAAAACACCGTGCAGACTTTGTTCTTGTAGCACGGCTGTTAGATCTACGAATAGTACAGGAGTTATTCCAAGCGAGCCGTCTGTGGATGGATGGCGCCAACACATACATGAACTCTAGCCCGCTCCGGCGTCGTACCCACAAAATAATTCTGTGCCACGACGCGATCTTTTCACTCTGTAGATTTGTACACACAGAGTTACAGAGTGTCCTGCACATGCACCGGCACGCACAAGTGTAAGCTCGAAGAAAGCTCGCACCGACCTCGCCAGATACGCTTCGTCTGACGTCTTTCTGGGGGCTAAAACAACCAACCACCAACACGGAAAACAACATGTTTTTTCCGTGGCGGGGCCAAGGGGGAAGATGTGCAATCTAGGATGGGCCACGCGGTACGCGAGCTAACCGCCACACGACTGGTCACGTGATTACTACTCAAGAGTTTTCACACTGCTGACCAGCGGTTGTCTTTGTGTGCCCGTCTATACTGTTGTTTGTTACCTGTGCTTTCACTCTGCTACTAATATTATAGGCTAGTGTCTAGACCTACAGTCCAGGTAACTTAAATGAAGTATATTTTTTCATTGGACCACTAGAACGTAGCAAACTACAAATATTGTGCTCACGTACAAGAATACATTCCTCTGTACTTTTGTACGTATAGGAATGATGGGGTGACCAGCCTAGTTGCCTCCCTGCAGAGACCAGAGGCACATAGTCAAATATCCAAAATGTGCGTGCAAACAAACGGCTTCAAAACAATCAATCGCAACGCCACCAACGCACAATGCACCAACCACGCTCCCACATCACCTTCACATAGTTGGGAGCTCGCAGCAAATCTATCGGCGTATCACACCACAATCTACGAGCACCAAAACGAACTAGATCCACGGTCAAGGCTTTGCATGTACACGATAAATGTTTGTAGGGTCACCATTCAAATATAATCATGTTCGCACCCGATTCTTCTAATCTTCGCGACCATTCGGGAGCCTGCAAGCAAGGTTTTTCTCGACTGCTGGTTTTCGCTGGTAGCACAACTACGTGATAATTCATGGACACGACATTCAGTGGGCGCGCGCACAATTTGTGGAGCACGACCGCTGTGCTTCAGCATAATCATAGGTCTCGAATACGGCCTCGCCCACAACTTCAACGCATCAATGTACGAGGGTATAAGGGCTCCGGGAAACCCATCACACAGTTTTTTTCTACTTTCTATTTTGCCGCCAATCATTAGAATAAACTAGAACAACACGATTTTACTCCTCGTCTTGAGCCCAATCCCGCTGGTACGTTGACCTGGCCCTGGCCCTCGCCAGACGCCGGCGTCTGCGAACCGCGCTCGAATCACTGCAAAATCGTCGCTCATGTTCTGCTCGACGTAGCCGCGGAACCCAGGCACCGCAACCGGCATTGCGGCACTGCTCCTTGAACCAGTGACACTGGTACTGGAAGTGTAGCTTCAGCTGGGAGCGCCGCACAGTTTCCCCGCAGTGAGGGCAAGTGCAACTCTCTTGGAGTTCTTGCCCGGCTTCAGCCATGCGCATCCAGGCTCGGTGCGCGACGCAGTCTTCGTCTAGATGCCTGCCAGTGCAGACGAGAAGGCGTCTTGAGTAGGGGCAACTCTTTTCAAAGTATGGACGCGACTCACCGTTAGGTGACAGGGGCAGGCCGATTTGGGGGCGGTGTGTTCCATGCCTCTTACTACCGCGAAAGCGAAAAAAACAGGAGACCTCTTCGCTGGAAAGGCACCATTCGGATTGGTGAAGGTGATGGGTGTCTAGACTGCCACTCTGCACAATACACACTTTGTGGTCAAAATGATGCTTGTTCGTCACACGCGCTTCCTCTCACACGAGTCAATCCTATGCCGCCATGCATGTTACAATCAGCAGCTGCACCTTGAAACATCCTTCGCCGGCATTCGCTTCCCGCATGCAGCCATCGAACACGTCACGACACGCAAAACACATCGGTATGCCGCGTGCGCTTTTGCATCCCGTTTCAGGAAACTTTCACCGCATCCTGCTTTACACGGGACAACTTGCCGGTGGAGTCGACCACGTTGGGCCAATCGCCCCCGCCGTAGCTCGACCTGCGAGCTCGAGGCCGGGCAGTCAGTGGAGAAAACCGGTGGTCACCACATGGATTCCAAAGTGGAAGCCATGTGCTGGAGTACATTGTTCACCGCAGCCATGTGCTACGTACTTGGTTCGCTGCTAGGTTCCTAGGACGAGAGTAGAAGTTGATCGGCCACTCTGTCGAGGTTTGTTCTCATGCAAGAGTCTTAACCTGGCCGAGAGAGAATCGTTGAGACAACGACGAGCGAGGTGGGCACAAAAGGTTTCAAGACATTGTCAGTCTCTGGAGCTGTCCCTGAGTTGGGTGTTGTTTCTCTTCTTCTATACCCGTGTTCCGACGAGGAAGGTCGAATCGCTGACGGTTGGAAGGTCAGTCCTGACCGCGCAAATCAAATTGGATCGTTGCACATTTGGGTGGCTCAACACAGACACACAGTGCTACGAAGTGTTCTCGTTCCTCTCACCTTACACACGTTTTGTTCTCGCCACGACGGCGTGGGTGGTGGAGCCACCTCAACAATGTTCATATTCTCCGAAAATGCCCACTTGAGGCCCCGCCCGATCATGCGTGCCCGGAACCTTTGCTCCGTGACATCGTTAACATGCTCACCCACTCCTTCCTCGAATGTCCAGTAGCCTATGAGCCCGTCGTTTTTAGCAGTACCCGGGAGCACTTGGTGCATCCACTCCACCACATCTTCCTTGGGCCTCTTCACTTTCCAATACCTGACTTCTTGCAGAAGGCACTGGCACGCGGTCTCTCTTCCACCGATCTCTCGCATGGGAAGGGGCACCGTAATATCTCGGAGGCGACTCGCTGTCTTGCCGTCTTCCATGAGAAATACCCCGGTCGAGTCAGAAACAAACGCCAAATGTACCCAGCGCTCTCGCGGACAACGGTAGTTGAAGATGTGGTCCTTCTTGCCGGCAATCTTTATTCCTATCCTCTCTTTTGGACCCATTTCCAGCTGAAACAGTACCTTGTCGGATCCCAGCAGTGTTTCGACACCCCCACGTCTACCTACCTCCTCAGCGATGCGAGTCCCGATAGATTTTCCGTAGTGTTTCTCGTGCTTCTGCTTCCGTTTCTCCTTTTTGGCGGCTTTCTTGTGTTTCCCACCCTGTTTGGGGGAGGTGCCACTCTTATGGGCTCGAGCGCCGCCCTCCTCGTCTGGGACCCCCTCTTCCACACCTTCGGCAGTTGCATCACCGCGAGTGTCAAAAAGTGCTTCATTGGCTATTCCGGTTATGGCTACTGCTTCTTCCTTCAAACGAGGCAGAGTCTCGGCCTGCAGACCCAGAACTCTCCGCGCCAAGGACGGCCCGGTCAAAGCGATCCACTCCGCCCAAAACACGGCTTTATTCATGCGCAGCTTCGCCTCCTCGGATGCTTCGAATGCTTGTTGCTCCTTCGAAATATTCAACAGCATGCTGTCGATATCATCTTTATCGTTGCCCGAAGCGCCTCCACTACCGGCGACGACGCCATCGGGATCAAGCGGGATGGAGTTTGTAACTTGGGCGGATGGTTGCCCGTCGTCTTGGGTTGGAGTCATACTCAACCTCGTCAGACATTTGGGGCTGTCAGCAGCTGTTCCGGGTGTTCCACTTTCTTCACCGATCGCCTCGTTTGGCTCGACCGCCGTTTCGCCGAGGGTTGGAGCCGTACCCAACCCCGTTGGACTTTTGGGGCTCTCAGCAACTGTTCCGAGCGGCCTATTTTCTTCACCGATTACCTCCTTTGACTCGACCACCGTTTTGCCTGCACCTAGTGACTGATTCACACTGCGTATTCCTTCATCGCGGCAAAATCCTGCCCGAGAGGGGCCAGGCGAAGCAGAGTACCAAGGTGTACTCCCCAGTGCTAGCCGGTCGAGGCCGCGCAACCGATCTTGTGCAGTCAGCTCCTCAACACCACGTGCCGCCGACGCCACACTGTTTGACAGAACGACAACAGAGACCACGAGATCAACCTTCGCATCGTCACGCACGGTAGCAGCGGCGATCATTTCGTCCGTCAGCTTATCTCGCGTCTTCGCTGCCTCCTCCGAGCGCTCTTTAGCAGCCCTGGTCGCCACATCAACAAGCAGAGGCTCGAGCAAAGCAAGTCGCCGTTCCGTGATTGCTAGCTTTCCGCGAGCCTGGTGGAACTCCCAGAGCGCTTTCAGGGCCGTGCGGGTCTTCTCGCGGGTACCTTCGACTAGTCCCGGACGCCAGACCCACATCTCAGCTGTCCACGGGGGCTTGCGATCACTCTCCCCTAGCGTGATATACGCCCTCCCTCCGTCGAACGCCAAGCAAGCACGGGGGTCCAGGAGTCGGTCGACCTTGAGGTGATCATCCATCGCCGACAGGCGGAGCATGGCGGGGCAACCAAGCTCCCAGTGCTTGCAAGGGACCCGCCGATTGGGACACTTCTCCCGGTGGTGGCGGGGCAGGTCCTGACAAACCACCCAGTAGCCGCACCCTGAGCACTGCACGCGTTGACGCCGAAACAGGTGTTTGGCTGCACGATCTTCCCGTGTGATTGCAACGGCGCACTGCTTGCGGAGATGATAGGCCACATCTAATGCCGGAAGCTCCTCTCCGCAGCCTAGGTATTTGTTGGGGCAGGCCACAACTCTCGAGGGACACTCGTCGGAAGTATGCCGACGTAGTTGAGTCGTCACCACTGTTCCATGGCACGCCCCACATTCTATCTCAGTTGGCCTGCTCGCCGCCTGCTCGTGTAGAGCGCCTTTCTGCTTCGCCGTCTTGCAATCAAATCTTTGGTGGTCTGCCAGAGACCTTGCTTGCATCATCTCCATGCAGTTGGGACATTGCACCATCCGTATCTGACAGTCTGTGGCCAGGTGCATCCTCATTTGCTTACGAGGGAACCTCTCATTGCAAGCTTTGCATGCAATCTCATCGTCTAATGCTTTGCCGTTTTTTGCTAGAACGCGCTGCTCTTTCCTTTTGAAGCAATCCCGCCTCAAGTGCAGGCGTAGCTGTCGCGCTTGGACAAGCGTTGAGCATCCTGGCATGAAGCAGCTGACATACCTACCGGGCAACATCGACATTTGGGTGTTCTAGTGGTAAATAGGACGTCAACGCATGTATGGACAACTCATACAACCGTTTCGTACGAATTTGCAACAAACGAAACAAACAGCGGTGTGATTCATATTCGGTCAGGCGAATACGCATATGTCTTCACCTCAGAGCGCAAAGAGATGCATGGTGATGTCGTAGATCAGTCACCCACAGCTCTTCACCGCAACCGGAAGGGCATTCAATACGATCCCATGTGCCACGATGCTGAAGGGAAGAAACCGCCTCTGCAAGAGGGGCCACTGGAGGGCGTCGGCTGGGTCCGCCTGTAGATGGACGGCGAAGGCGATTGGATGGCAGGTGTCGCCCTCTGCCATCCGGACCATTCGGCAATGCGTTGTTGTTTGTCGCTTGCTTTGCTGGTGCCACTGCGCTGTGGCCTGTTCGTGCCACAACAGGTGGCTCGTCGCCAGCGCCCAAGAGCTCGGCCTCCAGTCCTCCGAGGTCAGAATCAGTGCGCGGTCCCTGCTCTTGCTCCATTTGACGTGTAGCCCCTTCGCCCGTCAGACAAGAACGAAAGTACTCGACACAGTGTCTAGTACCTGCTGTCAATGCTGAAGGACTTGACGCCTCATTCCGGGTCGTCGATTGTAACTCGGAACGAAAGGCCTCCACAGGTGAAAGTGGAAGATCGCGCATAACATAGGGCCATATGGAAATCTTGCCGCTCCTACGAGTACGGGACCAAGCGCACGCAGTTTTAGCGAATCGGTTCACGAAGTGTACGAAAAAACAACGTCTACTGTATGTACGGCATATGCGTACGGCAGTAGTATTATGATGAGCCGCGGAGCGAGCGAAGCGAGCGACATTTTTTCCCTTCGTCCCCAGGATGGAAAAAAAGGCTCTACATATCGGCCAAAGTTGCGCCGCGCGATACAGGGATCCAAAAACTTGTTTCCGGGAAGCCTACTCAGCACACCTTTGGAACCAGAACGAGATATATAGGGCACCGATTGACGATCTGCTCGCTTCTGAGGAAGAAGAAAAATAGCGCGCTCTTCTCCACACCGGTTTCGTCGTGCTCCGAGAGCAGATAGCTTTGCTTCACCGGCATATGTAGCCTATATCTGTAGGGGATTGTCCTCCCCAACCCCGGGGTTTCTACGCGAAAGGCGTGCACAAAAGCGGAGATCGCGGGCGCTCGCGATTCAGACCAGGACAAGGAACACCGCGAGAGACGCAAGAAGACCACCAACGAATACATCACCGCTGAGACGCTGGTCTGAGACCAGCTATGAAAACCAGGAGGGGCCAGGCCTATACGACTTGTGCGCCGTGGGTATACTGTAGGCATGCGCCATGTGTAACCTGGTGGGCATTTTTTTATGTTTACTGTAGTGGGTCCAACCAACTGCTTCAAAAAGAGCAGGCCGATGACCACACAACATACACACCTTCCTAAGTCCAGATCACACCTACCATCATCGAGAGAGTCCGTCGAGGGCGTGAGGATCTACTACTACTGCTGCTGCTGTGCGTTATGAGGATGGTTCCCCGCGGGATCGGTTCAGATTGCGTACTAACGCTGCGCTACTACTGTCTAGGAAAGAAAGCCGTGCCTTGCATGCTGTTGCTACTGCTGCAGCCCTGCAGGGCCTCTCGGCCTCTCGCATCAAAGTCATGACGTCATATGACCATCAACGTTTTTTTATTGTTTTTTGTTCATGCTGGACTGCTTGCTTTCACTTGGGCGGGAAACTAGGAAGGCTTGAGACGAATGTGGCGGGCAGGTTGTGAGCCTGACGCAATATTTGCCATCTGTCGTGTCACAATCCTATGCCTACGCTGCTGGTCGTGTTCCTCGACGGTGTCATGTGTGATACGCTCGCCGCCAGGGGGATGCCGCATGTATGCTTCTTCCACATGCCCAGATTACGTACGTGTGTGTATGTTTGCGTCCGCACGGCGGAAAGACTTCACAATTTGTTTCTTCGTGCATGTGCATCAAAACGGAAAGGAACAAACGCATGTAGAGTGCATACAATCATCGTCGCTCCGGTCGCACGCCTGGTGTTCCTCTGTGGTGCACGCGTAGCTGCACCACAAACGTTTCACGCTGGTATGTGTCGAGATTCGTGCACGATCAGTATCGCAGATAAGACTACTGCAAGGTATCGAGTCGCACCACGCGGCTCATTACCGCCCGATACCTAGTATGGTACTGTAGGAGTTAGAGCCATGCTATTAGGGTAGCACAGACAGTGCTCTACACCTATGGTTTGACTTTACGAATACAGCTACAAATCCACCACCGCAGAACAAAAGACTGCTGTAACATTTTAACCTCGACTACACAACTAAATAGACCATATTAACAGTGCGGACAGTCACGTCACTAATACCGCAGTATTGCCGAGTTGCTTGAACAACAGTTGAGAGTAGTGGTCCCGTCGGACTACTGCAGTAGTGCTATCGCGAGAGAGGAACAAGAGGTCTACGGATGTACGTCGCCTACGAGCTACCGACTGAAATACAGAGTACCTTCGGAGGTGATCGACGTTGACCGGAGGGTGGTCAGGACGTTCCACGTCTGCAGCTGGGGGCCGTGGCATCGCCCCATCAGGCTCTTGGGCTGGTTCTTTACGACGCACCATCGCCGTGGTCAGGGGTGAAAACACGCTCGCGCGCGCGCGCGCGCGAGAGAGAGAGAGAGAGAGAGAGAGAGAGAGACGACAGACGAGGAGGGCAACACCTACGACAACAATCTCCGAAAATGACATTTTGGACTGAGATCTCCGAAAATGAAGGGAAACGGTGTACTCGCTATTACGCCGCATTCGCCTCGGATGCGCTATCTTGCGGAGCTCATCTTGCGATCTGTGTTTTGACAAAAACGCGCGCAGAGGTTGCTACCGCCTGGGAATAGCTACCTTGCTGCCGTTATACTAAGCATCGATGTAGACCATAATCTGGAACTGCGAGGGGTTGCCAGGATAACACTTGCAAGAACAAGCCTTCGATACGTAAATAGATACAGCCAGCCTTTGCCGTCGACTCAAATTGAGTCTCCATACCATCCTCGTCAAGGTGTGGAACGGAGGAGATATTCCGCGAGAGTGGAAGGATGCAACCATCAAGGTGCTGTACAAGAAGGGTGACCGGTCCAACTGTAACAACTATTGGGGGATTTCGCTACTATCTTACAGGCAAGGTCCCCATCAAGATCATCACCAACCGTCTAAGCGC